AAATAAGATAGTTCCTAGAATTAAATGACAATACCACTAAACATGCTGGAACTTATGGGACACAGTGAAAATAGTCCTAAGAGGGATTTTATAGCTGAGAATGCCCACATCAGAAAAAGAGTGAACTCAAATAAATAAACTAATGATGCACCTCAAGATTCTAGGAAAACAAGAATAGTCCAAATCCAAAGCTAGTACAAGGAAGGAAATTATAAAGAGCAGAATTTAATGAAATTGAGACTAAAAAAATACAAAAAATGAACAAATTGAAGAGTTGGTTCTTTGTTTCTTTTCCTCATAGAATTTATTGGTACTTTTAAAGTACACAGTACAGTTACATTTATCATTGGGATCTTGTACCTTTACATGACAGATCTTGGATCTCATTTTTTTCCCCATCCCCCTGCCCTCCCTTCACCCTCTCCACCCTCCCCTATTTACAAAGACTTTGTTTCCATTTTTTTCTTTCTCATGCTTTTTCTTTCCCCTTCTTTCCTTTTCCCTACCCTTCCCACTTCCCCTACACCTTTAGCCCTTTTCTTCCAATTTCACATTGTCAGTTTGTTCTTCATTTCCTTTTTGGTGTTTCTATATTTCCTTTTTATTTGCATGCACTATTGTATTTGGTACCGGGGATTGAACTTGGGTCCTTGCTGCATGCAATTTTGTTAAGGGTCTTAAGCCTTTGTGCACAGTTGACAATAAGACATATTATGTTTGTTCCTGTCATTCAGCAAGGATTGGAAGTGCAGATCTTTTGTGGTTCATGAGCATGATGATTCAGGTAGGTCAGTAGAATGTACAGGTTCCTAATACTTACATTGATGGCCTTGTCTCTACTGACTTGTACATTTTTTTCAGGAAGCCTGGTGAACATGGACAAGTGAGATTGGTTGTAATTTTCTTGTTCTGTGGCATCACTTTCAGGTTTTGTGTCATGACTTTACATTTGACATGATTTTTTCCTCCCTCCTCCAGGCTTGATGTTTTCTGGCTTCTGTACTTGAATATCTCCTTCATGTCAGCTGGCAAATGACTGTGGATCAAATAGGGCCACTGATGTTTTGTATCTACTGAGAAACAAACTTCCAACCTATAAACCAGTGTGTGTGTGTGTGGGGGGGGCACAAACCATATCAAATCAACAGCAAAAGGAGAACGTCGGTGTGCTTGTAGGAAGCAAATTCACCTTTCCCCTGCAGTTGTGTCCTGCTCAGACTTTGTACAGCTTGGATGATGTCCACCTACACCTAAGGCAGATCTTTACTCAGTCTACTGATTCAAAAGCTAATGTTGGGGCCGGGGATTTAGCTCAGTGGTCCCTCCAACTGCCTCTCAAGTACAAGGACCTGAGTTCGATCCCTGGTACAAAAAAAAAAAAAAGCTGTCTAGGTCTTCCTTACAGAGTTGAGTTGTCCTGTAGAATTAACTACTGCAACAATGAAACATAGAAATAGCCCAATATATTAGTTTGCCTGGCTTGCCACAGCAGAGTGTCACGGGCTGTAGTTTAAGCAATAGATACATATTACCACACAATTAAAATTAAGGTGTTGTCAAGTTGTCTCTCTCAGGACTGAGAAGGAAGGATCTGTTCCCACCGTCTCTACTTGGCTTGCAGATGGTTTTCTTCTTACGTTTCTTCAAAGTTGTCCTCTATGCGGGTCTATTTCTGTGTCCAAATTTGACTTTTATAAGAACACCAGTCTTATTAAATCAGGGCCAAACCAAATAACTCCATTTTAAACTTGATTATCCCTGTAAAAACTACCTGCAAATAAGTCACATTCTGAGGCACTAGGGGTTAAAATTCTAACACATTGCTGTTTGGTGGTGGTGAGAACACAATGCAGCCTGTAACACACCACTACCATGAAAGATGCTAGAAACTGAGGCATAGGAAACTTCCAGAGTTTCTTCCTCCAGTTGCTTGGTTTGAGCCCTACTCTCCTACTTGAAATACCAGGTGGCCACACAGAAACGTTAGGTTCCACCTGTTGTCCTGAAAAGTAAGGTCATTTTGGTTTCATGCTATTTCCCTCATTAAACATAGTTTTTATTTTAATAGAGCAGTTTAGCTTAGAAAACGCTTACTTATGCTCGTTTAAATGATCCTTATAATCTCTCTGAGAGATGAAGAAACTGTGCTGCTCAGAGGGTGGTCACACAGCTATTGAGTGCTGAGCATACAGTCCAGTTTGCCTGAGTCCTCACTCAGTGCTTTTTCCATTGCAGAGAGTATAATCCATGCTCCATAAAACCAAGCCACGCTACCTGCCACCACACTCAACAAAGAAACACACTACCTCTTTCCAGAGATTGTGGGGTTCTGGGACTCACTTGGGAAACATTTCTTCCGCCCAAGAGTTGTTACCACAGGAGGGCGCTGTTGCAATGAGTTGACTATGAAGTGTAACTAACCGGTCTTTCCTTTCTATGCAAGGTGTATTGTCAAATTCAACTTCCTCATGAACACTTCTTTTCTCCTCCCCTCTACCTGATCCCGAGGGCCAGCCCGTTATTTATTTCATACCTTGTGATACCTTATTTAAGTATTACTAGAAGTCATTAACATTTACTGTTTTTTTTTATGGGAAAATGGAAATTTTTTTTCATTCAGAATATTGTGCGCAAACCTTGATCTAAAGAAGAGGAGTCTTCCAAATATTTCCCAATGATTATTTTTCCATTTCCATGCTATATGGGCACAGAACTCAAACAACACACCACTTTTCCGTATTAATGTGGATATGTAGCATGTTTATTACAGCATTTGGCAGACTCAGTTAACAGAATGGTATCAATTGGATATGGCTCTTTTCCTGAATGCTTAGATTTTAAAAAATTTCTTTTTGTGTCACTGAGTCTGTACTGTAGTTCTTTTTTCAAAGTGTTATTAATACCTGTTTCCAGTATGTAATGATTACATTCATCCTGGGGAGTTGCTGCATGTACATAACGCCTTGATTCTTTTTACACTCTTTTAAATTTAAATTATTTTCAACTTATACATGAAACTTAACATGTTTATGGAGTTCCACGTGATGTGTTGATACCGGTATAAATTGTGTGATATTTAATTAGAACAAGGTAAAGATATCTCTTCAAACATTTATTATTTCTTTTTTGTTTTTTGTTTTTTTGGTACTGGGGATTGAACTCGGGTCCTTGCGCTTGGAAGGCAGGCCACCGAACCGCTGAGCTAAATCCCCGGCCCCATTTATTATTTCTTGATGGTGAAAATATTTTAAAACTTTTCCTTTAGCTTTTTGAAATATATTTTGTGTGTATTTTTTTTAGTTTCACATAAATGTTTACTTGTTTTTCTTCAGTTCATATAATTTTTTGCAGTTATCACACAGTTTAAAAATTCACCAACACACCAATAGTACAAAACTAAACAGTATTATAAGTTATTCCTCCCTCAGGAAAATAAAACATACTATGATTGTCAAAGCTAGATGTCAGCCTAAGTTTTAGAACAAAGGAAGAGAGGGAAACTAAGGAAAGGAAGAATCACTCACAATGACCACAAAAAGAAAATCCAAAAGTAAGTCCATTTTTCTCACAGACATTGAGTGTCTTCTCTAAATTAATAAAAGTTATTTTAACATAAACTGTATTTAAAAAAACTAGAAACTCTTCGAGTAACTAAAGGTAATGCTCCAAGGCCATTTTCACAGCTTTGTTTGCTTTAAATGCCATTACAGCCAAATTAACACACATTTGACCAAAAAATGTTTACTTGTTTATTAGTTTACATTTGTGATACATAGTGAACATAGTCATTTGAGGGATTACTACATACAGGTTGCTTCTCGATCTTTTCTACTTTCCTTTTTTCTCTCTTCCTTTTTGTCTCCCCTTGGCATAGATCCCTTTCCCATCGTCACGAAAATCTCCCGTTTCTTATCATTTTCCTCTTTAAATTATTTATACTTTCTCATACAGGAGAAACCACACGATATTGAACCATCTGCTTTATTTTACTCAACGTTATGATCTCTAGATACACACACTTTCCTACAAATGACTGCATCTGTCCTTCTTTATGGCTGAGTAATACATCTATATCACATTTTCTTTTTCCAGAAAATATGTATTTCTTAAAGAAAGAGTACACAAAATATTTTTTTAAAAAAAATCACAAACATATGGTATGTGACTGCTTTCTACTGGCTGTGGTACTTTGTATGTGGTTCAGATGAAAAGAAAGAGTGGGTGAAGAAATGAGAATTTATTATTGAACGGATGCCACAGGCTGACTGTAATATGTATATTATTGCCTCCATTTTGTAGATGAAGAAACAGGCCCAGAGGAGTGAGGTGCCCACAGTCCCTAGGTGACAGGGCTGAAATTGAGGTTCAGGCCTGTCTGACTTAGAATCTGTGCCTATTTTTGTTTGTCACCTCACTTCCCTCAGGATGGCTGTGTTTCTGTTTAAGATTTGTTAAATTGGGTCTGAGAAGCAGATGTCAGACGTGGACTTGGTTGGATCATAAGAGGACTGCAGGGTGGGTGGCTGCTTCATTCATACTTGTTTTGGAGTAAGATTATAATTCCTTGCTCCATGTTGACTACCTAGGGATTAGTGGAGCATTTCAGGCCTGAAGTACCAGGTCAGGTGGGTTTTGCCCAGGTTAGGGGTGTCCATGAGTCCATGAGTGTCAGACGACTATAGGAGATGACCTCCCTCTGTGGCCGTGCAAAGGGGATGGGGGCAAAAGAGCCTAACAGAACTGACCTTCTGTTAAATTTGCTCCATTCAGACCAAACCTCTAAGTGGGAAGACCTCAACAAAGCTCTAAAATGAAATTTGGGCTACTAGGTTCTCGTACTGGCAGTTTCTATCTCATCCTTCTTGGGAGATCAGCTGCATCTTGAAGGGAAACTGCACTCTGTGGAGCCGCTGCCTTGTGACTGGCTGTTCTTCTGGGGACAGTCCCAGGTGACAGCTGCTAGAGCGCAGCCATGGCAGTTGCTGCTGTGCTTTGGCCCTAGCTCTTCTCTTAGCTCAGGGCCAGACTCAGCAAGACAGCCTAGAACTTCAGCCTCATTATACCCCTGAAATATGAAGCGGGTGACAACAGTGACTGTGCTCCTGATTCTGGGTGAGTTATTTTGGACTAAGGAGAATTTGGATCTGGGCTTGAGGATGTTGAACAGAGATTTTTATCCAATTGTTCCTTATCCAAGATGTTGAGGGAAAGCTTTGAGTTGTATTTTTCTCCTGGCAGCTCCTGAGTGTTTAAATGAAGGGTATTTCAGGGTAGTAAAGTTACTCTTGACTACTGGTCTTGGGGTTCATCCATGGGAGGGAGAAAACAGAACTGCTAGCTCTGCATATGTAGTGCTGGGCCTCCCTGGAATACATATATAGAATATTTTTTTATATACCGGGACACAAATATAAATTGTGTGTGTAAGTGTATGGTGAGGAAGTTGGGTTTGGGGTGGATTCGACTGGGAGAGAGAGCTCTTGGGGAGCTGAGTGGGGCCTTGTGATCCACTTTGTCCCAGGACAGGCACCCGCATTGTGTTCACTCCGACAGGCACCGGGAGCCTTGCTGAGACCACTCAGCCCATCTCCACGGAGTCCTATGAGGGCCAAGAAGTGAACTTGACCTGTGACCACCCCGACATTGCTACAAATGAGTACATCTTCTGGTACCGACAGGTCCACCACCAGGGACCACACTTTGTTATTCAAGGGTATAAGACGAACGGGGCGAATGAAGTGGCGTCTCTGTTTATCCCTCAAGACAGGAAGTCCAGTACCCTGAGCCTGCGCCACGTTGCCCTGAGAGACACTGGTGTGTACTACTGCACTGTGGGCGGTGCACAGTGAGACATCTGGCCCTGCGCCTGTGCAGTATCCCTCTGTTGTGTGGCAGTCACACCTGGGAGAAGCCCCAAAGCAGCGCTTTCTAAAATTTTAGTTTTGCAAGGTGTTTGTAAAATAATTCTTGTACCACTTAAACATCTCCTGTGATTCATTTTTAAATAAATATTTCATTTATGTGGTGTAAATGTCTTTATTCAGTGCAATGCCTTTGTTCTACCATTGTCCCTTATCACTCAACTATGCAAAATGAGGTACTTGGTGGTTTTTGCACTCTTCCTGTTTAGAGTGCTGGAGTGCCTCATTTTGCACATAAACACACACATGCACACATACACACACTACACGTATGTTATATCGACATCACATGCAATGTGGAAAATATGTCTCCTTAGATTTTGAAAAAATTTCCTTGTCAGGTCCTTATTTATTAGACAGAAAATTTGAACATTTCTGTGGCCACATTCAGGTATTCGCAAGCTGGTTTCCACGTTTGGTTAGATCTCTTTGTTGCCTGTCTTTCTCCTTCCTTCTATCTCACTGCCCATTGGTGGATGATGTGAAAGGGATGAGGGTTGAGGAGACTGGGTTCCGATTGGAGCTATAAACTGTTTTGACCATATTTGAATCAGAAGCAGAATCTGGTCATTATTAATTTTCAGAGTTGCGTGTTGAGTCCTTAGCTGCTGGAATTTGGTAGTGGTCTTCTGGCTTTGCTAGGACCACGAGAGAGAGAGAGTGTGTGTGTGTGTGTGTGTGTGTGTGTGTGTGTGTGTGTGTGTGGCAGTCCTCCTCTTATTTTGATAACAGGTAAAGCAATATTTGATGATATTTTCTATTAAGACTGATAGTGCTAAACCGTGGGATGGGAAGGTATTTCTATCTAGCTCATCTTAGAGTTTGCTGGGGGAGAGATATTGTGGAAAGAAAAAATCTTTAGAGCTCTAGAGTCTACAGATTCATCTTCTTTGAGTAACATTTTTTGAAATAAGGGCGATGAACCTGTAGTAAGATCAGTGTCCTAGCCACCAAATGTCCAGAAGGTAGCCGGGTCTCCTCTCCAATGCACTTTTTTTCCTTTTTGGTGCTGGGGATTGAACCCAGGGCCTTGTATGGGCCAGGCAAGCACTGTACCACTGGGCTACATTCCCAGCCTCTCTAGTGCACTTCAGAAGATCACGGTTTTTAGTGCTTCATGGAGTTCAGGCAATATCCTGACAAAAGCAGTATCTGTTCCCCATCCTCTCAGTGGAGAAATAAGGAAGATACACCGCTCACTGGAAATGTACCTCTTTGCATACCACAGATCTCAGGGCTGAGACTCAAACATCTTTTCACAGGAAGCTCAGGGTGATGTCCAAATACCCAGGCAGCCTTTGTGCACATCTGAGGAACTATCAAGAGCACTGAGACGGTAGGGGTGAGGGGACTCTCTGCAGTGTTTCCATCTATTTATGAAATAAATGCCCATGTCAGAGAGGCTGTGGGATTATCTGAGGAAGATACAAGGCTATGCTGTGGAAGATGATCTTGGTTGGATGAGGCCATGGTTATGGCGTAGAGGGAAAGAGCCATGTCAGGGAGAGGGGAGCCAGTGTTAAGATCCAGGCTCTTTCAAGGAGCGAAGATACAAAAGAGGCTGTGTTTTAGGATTCATTTTTATGAATGGAATCTGTGTGTTAATCACTTTGGCACAAGATCCCAATAATGAATGTAATTGTACTGTATACCTAAAATATACCAATAAACTCAATAAAAAACACAATATCTTCCAACTTCATCCTTTTTACTGCTTTAAACCTTTATGGGTGAAGAAGAGTCAAATTTGTACATATATTACATTTTCTTTATCAGTTCATCCATCAGTGGACACCTAGGTCGGTTCCACATCTTAAATATTGTGACTAGAGCCTCAATAAATGTTAGAGTGCAGGTATATCTTTAGTTTGCGGATTCCTTTTCCTTAACATATGTACCTAGATGTGAGATAGTTGGATTATACGGTAGATCTATTCTGAGTTTTTTGAGGAATCTCCATACTGCTTTCCAGAATGGCTTCCCCTCAAAAGTGTATAAGAAATTCCTTTTGTCCACATTCCCACCAGCATTTGTTTATTTATTTTTTGATTATATGCATTGTAACTTGAGAGGGGTGATATCTCATTGCCGTTTTTATTTTCATTTGCCTGATAGCTAACAACAGTGAACATTTTTTCCATGTATTTGTGGCCATTTGCATTTCTATTTTATAGAGATGTCTCTATAGATTATTTATTTTCTTTTTTCATAAGGAGGGTTTCACTTCTCTGGTTTATCATCATACCTTATGCATTTCTATTATTTTATCAGCGGGGATTTCAGAGTGAAAGGCTGTTATCAAGCAAGGCTGATATCTAAAGTGAGTATTATTCATGGACATTGAAATTCTCAAACTGACAACTTCTTATAGATTGTTTTTTCCCCCGCTTTGGAGATCAAACTCAAGACCTTGTGCTTTCGAGGCAGGCATGGTGCCCACATGTAGGAAAATCTGTAGGGAAAAAGAAACAGGAAAATATGAATCCTGAGGTCGTACTTGATCTTATGATGCTACAAATAATCACAGCCCCGAGAATGCAGATTTCTGATGTTAGCAAAAGGACCCTATTTGCTGGTGGGAAGGTGGGTTATTTCTCTAGTCTAATTTTTCCTGAAATTGATTTCCCTGTGTGATGGCCACTCTTTTTTCCCAGGGGTTTGCAGGCTGAAAAGAGCGGAAAGAAAACTATTGCAGTAAAAATGCCATTGGTTTTGTCCATGGTCAACACCACTCTCATTTATAAGACCTGACTTTCACCCATATAAAACTGCTAGCAAAGTTGAGTTGAATAATCAATCTGTCCAACGTCTTCTATTCTTTTTAGTTTTCCTGAGCCCTGCTCTGTTGGTGATACTCCTTGGATTTCAGGGTTAATGGAGATTTTCTTTCACTTTGTCTTCTATCCTTCCAGAATTATATGTCTTATTTTGCAATATTTGCATCAAATGACCCAGTTTCATCATAGATGCTCCGATATATCAATGTTCCTTTCAGGCTGTGGTAACCAGAACTGGGAGTGATACGGAAGGCATGTCAGACCGTAAGGCCATGGATTTTACTCTCTTATTTGAAGTAACAGTATTATCAATTATTGTTGACCTAAGGCCACTGGATCTTCATAATACTGCCTGAAATAGAGAAAAAAGTGAGTGAAGGCCCACGTCCTAGATTGTAAAAAAAATTTTTTTGAGACGGGTCTCACTATGTACTTGAGACTGTCCTGGAACGCACTATGTAGCCCAGGCTGGTCTCGAACTCACAGCGATCCTCCTGCTTCAGCCTCCTGAGTGCTGGTATTACAGGCGTGCGCCATCATGCCAGGCTCTAGACTGTAATTTTGTAATGTGATGTTATGAATATATTTTGATTTTTTCATCTTTGAGTTTATTGGTACATTTTAGGGATACAGTACAGTTACATTCATTGTTGGGATCTTGTACCTCTACATGACAAGTCTTGGTTCTCATTTTTTCCCCTTGTCCCTGCCCTCCCTTCACCCCCTCCTCCCCTCCCCATCTGCAACCACTTTATTTCCATCTTTTCATTATCTCACATTTTTTTTCTTTTCCCTTTTTACCCTTCCCCTACCCATCCCACCTTCCCTACAGCTTTAGCTCCTTTCTTCCCATTTCTCAATGTCACAGTAATCTTTTTAGGATCTTCTGTATTATTGCAGATTATTCACACCAGAGAAACTATTCGTATATTTTGATTTTAAAATAGGGTCTTGCTGTGTTGCCCAGGCAGGCTGCCAACTCTTGAACGCAAGCCAAACTCTTGCCTCAGTTTCCCAGTTACCCGGAAAGAGGTATAGGCATTTGACTACGTGATTCTGTCTTTAATTTCATGAGCCAGTGTAACTGTCCCCATATCCTAGCACTTTCTACTCAGGATCAGACACTCACGGCCATCAAGGCTATCTAAAGCTCACCTGAGAGAAGTCAGTCTGAAGGAATCAGCCTAAAGAAGGGTCCACTGCTTTTATAGACAGGAGGCGATGGACTCCCAAATCTAACAGGGCTGTTTTGTGATCATTTTTTTTCTAAAGTAAATTACTCCGAAAAAGAAAAAAAAGTAAATTACTTCAGTATTTTTCGTTCAAGACAGGATGACTCTAATCAGCTACAGAGTGGGCACAGCACTGACTACGGAAGAAAAAAAGGTTCAATGAAAGCTTTTGTTACATCCCTAAACAGAAGAAAAGCGCAGATGAACGTTCCCGGAGGAGACTGGGGCGTCGACGCCGCATCCGGGCTGCAGAGGGCGCTGTTGTGCAAACCAGAGTCCCAGTGTTTTATGGCGATCCGTAGCCTCCGGCGACCTCTCCTCCCTGCGGCTGCCGGGAGCTCCCCCGCTGAGCCTGTTGGACAAGTGAGGAGGAACGGAAGGCAGGAGCACCCAGCGTCCCCCTGCAGGTTTTGTGTGCCTAAACGCAGGCGGTGTCTAGCCCGGCTCCGCTCGCACCTCGCGCTTCCCAGGGCCCGGTCCTCAAGCCATTTCTCTGCCTGTCGGGACAGCGGCTCGGCCATGCTCCTGGTGCTCATTCCGGTCCTGGGGTTACATTTTGCCCCGAGTGAGTAAAATGTCTTACGGTCCCTGAAGTCACGGTTTTCTGATTTAAATCTTAGTAAAAATACTTTTCTTGAACACCGACTGACGTAATGCGGATTTTCCAGGACACGCCGGAGCCCAGTCGGTGAGCCAGGCCGACGCCAGCGTCACTGTCCCTGAAGGGGCCCCTGTGGAGCTGAGGTGCACGTTCTCCTACGGCGGAGCCGTTTTCCTCTTCTGGTACGTCCAGTACCCGGGCCAGGGCCTCCATCCTCTGCTCAAGTACTATTCGGGAGACACCCGCGTTCAAGGCATCAAAGGCTTTGAGGCCGAATACAGCAAGAGCGAGTCCTCCTTCCACCTGAGAAAGCGCTCTGCGCGCTGGAGCGACGCGGCTGAGTACTTCTGCGCTCTGAGTACCACAGTGCCTGGGGCTGCAGGGGGAGCTGAACAAAATTCAGGGGTGCCAGGGAGGATGACTGCGTCTGGGAGCCTTCGGGTTCTGCCACAGCGGAACCATGGTGTTCCCGTCCCACAGTGGGAAGTGTTCAGGGACTGCTAGCCAGCGTGGCCGATTCCCTTGCGGTGTTTGGACGAAGGACTGTGGCGAGCCACAGGGGAGGTCTGCGTTGCATTCATCATTTTGTCTTCCAATATCCTGAACACAAGTGAGTCTCCTTTCTAGGCTTATCTCCTTGCAAGTTTACTGCCTTCTTCGCTTGGTAATTTATCCTTAAATTATTTTTTTGGGGGGGTACCGGGGCTTGAACTCGGGACCTTCTGCTTGCACGTCAGGGGGAGAACCACTGAGCTAAATCCCCGGCCCTTTACATTAATTTTATTGCTACATTCTAGATATACCTAACGATCACATTCACAGAGAATTTGTTCCTGTACTGATAAAACTTGATCTTTTTTTCCCATCTCCCTCTCGTCTTCAACCCTGCTTCTCCTCTTTATTTACAAAAGCTCTGCATCCATTTCCTTTTCTGTCCCTTTTTCTTTTCCTTCCCTCCCGCCCTCTTTTCCCCTCCTCTCTTCCTTGTTCCTCTTACCCATTTGAACATTTTCTTCCTACTTCTCAATATCTCTTTTTCACTTTGGCCCTTGTTCCACTTTCTGTTTCTCACACCGGAGAAGCAATGCAACATTTAAGCATGCGTGTCCTATTTATTTCACTTAAGACTATGATCTCAACGTTGCATCCATTCACCTAAAATATCTTAGGGTTATCCTTCTTTATGGCAGAGTAGTGCTCAACTGTAGAGAAAAACCACATCTTCTTCATCCGTTCATCAGTTAATGGTCATTTAGGCTGTTTCCACGATTTAGTTAAAACAAACTGTGTTGCTGTAAACATGTGTGAGCATATATTGCTGTGGTATGATGCTTTTAATTTTTTTTCAGGAAGATACCAAGAAGGGGAATAACTGGATCAACTGGAACCTCTAGTCTTAGTTGAGGGGCCTCCATTATGATTTCCACAGCAGTTGCACCAGTCTACACTCCCACCAATGGAGGAGGGTTCTCCACTTTCTTGAGTAGCCCTGATAACATTTGTTGTTGGCCGATTTCTTGATAATAGCTATACTGGAATTTCAGCATTGTTTTAACTGGCATCTAACAAATGACCAATGATATTTAACATTTTTTCATATATTTATTTGCCATGTCTACTTTTGCATTTGAATAGAGAAGCATTTATTCATTTCAGATGCCTATTTTTGGATTGAATCCTTAAATTTGAGGGGAGTCTGATTTTTTTGAGTTCTTTATACATTGTAGATAGTACAACGGCTGGCAAATTCTTTCTCCCAGACTGTGAGGTGTGTCTTTACTCTGTTGCTAATTATTTTTTACTGTGCAAAAGCTTTTTAATAAGATAAGATTCCAGTCCATTCTTTGTAATGTTTCCTGTGCAATTGGGGTTTTGTTCATAAGGTCTTTGCCTGTACCAATGTCTTTGAGAGGTCTACCTATTCTATCTCCCAGCAGATATAGTGTTTCTGTTTTAATGTTTAGATCTGCAATCCATGTCAGTTTTAGTTGAGTGCATGGTGAGAGATATGGGTCTAGCTTTAATCTTTAGCATGTGGAAAGTCGGTTTTTCCAGCACCATTTATTTATTTATTTATTTTTCATTCATTGTTAGTTTTATCAGCACATTTTAGATATGCATAGTAATCACATTCTTCATAGGGAATTTGTACCTGCACCTGATATACCTTGATTCTTCTTTATTGCCCCACTCCCTACACCTCTGTTCATCCCTCTTCCCATCCTTCTGTTCTCTTTTTTCCCTTTCCCTTCCTTCTATTCCCCCTCTCCTTCCAATTTGAGCCTTTTATTTTCATTTCCCAATATCTGTTATACATTTTGGTCCTTATTTACATTTTTGGTTTCTTGTACAAGAGAAACATTTCAGTACTTAAACGTATCCAGCACCATTTATTAAAGAGGCCAACTTTTTTCCAATGAAGATGTTTGGCCCCTTTGTCAAAGATAAGTTGACTGAATGTGTTTGGAATTCTTTTTGCATCTTCTTAACTGTTCCACTGATCCTTGGTTCTGTTTTTCTTTTCTTTTTGCCAGTACCATTCTATTTTTGTCATGGTAGCTTTGTAGTATAATTTCAAACCAGGCATTGTGATGCCCCCTGCCTTGCCTTTGTTGCCCAGAATTGCTTTTGCTATTCTGGGTCTCTTCTGGTTCCAAATGAATTTCAGGCTTTTTCTAGTTCTGTGAGGTATATTATTGGTATTTTTAAAAATTAATTTTATTGGTACATTTTAGATATACAATATAATGACATTTATCATTGGGAATTTGTGTCTTTACATAATCTATCTTGGTTTTTATATTTTTCCCCATTTCCCTGCCCTCCCTTTGACCCCCCATCCCCTATTTACAAAGATTTTGTTTCCGTTTTTTTTCATTTTCTCATATTAATTCCATTTACTATTGGTATTTTTATAGGAATTGCATTAAATATGTATAACAATTTTGGAAGAATGGCCATTTTCACTATATTGGTTCTTCCTACCTAATAACAAGGGCTATCTTTCCATTTTCTGATAGAGATATCCTCTTTGATCTCCTTTTTCCGAGTATTATAGTTTTCCTTTGTTAGATTGATTCCTAAGTATTTCATTTTTTTTATGCTATTGTGAAGTGGTGGTTTCCCTAATTTCTCTCTCAGTGGGTGTTTTAGTTTACTTTTTCTCTTCTTGCTTAGACAAAAATACCTGTCACTCAAAAGTTCACGTAGGGAAGGTTTATTTAGCTCCCAGTTTGTAGAGGCTTCAGCCCATAATCAGCTGGCTCCAAGGCAGGGTGACACATGGCAGAGGGGCCATCGCACAGGCAAAACAGTTCATGGCACCCACATGGTAACAAAAGCAACAAGAGGATTAACAGCATCTTTCTGCCCCTTGCATCCTATTTAGACTACTTAGGGCAGGTGGCACTCACACCCTTCATCCTAGTGCCCTTGAGCCTAGCACTGTACCATGAATCAATCCCATCATCACACTCCAGATCCAGCGCCCCCTGAAATTGCCTCTGACTATATGAGGCTTTGGAAGTAAACCTAGACTCAAACCATGACAGTGAGTTTGCTACTTGTATGCAGGAATGGTATTGATTTTTGAGTGTTGGCTTTGTATCCAGCTACAATTTTTGTATCCAGCTGAATTTGGTTACTGGATCTAGAAATCTTTTGGTGGAGTTTTGAGTTTCTTCTTAAAACTAGCTTCTATGAGGTCTTCTATGTAGAGTATCCTGTCATCAGCAAATAATGATAATTTATCTTTTTTTCTTTCTTTCCCTTATTCCTTTTATTTCTTTCTCTTGTCTAATTGCTCTAACTAATGTTTCCAGAGCTATACTGTATAAGAGTGGTGATAGTGGACATGTATGTCTTGTTCCTGATTTTAGAGTGAGAGCTTTTGGTTTTTGACCATTTAGTGTGATGTTGGCTGTTGCTTTGTCAGACATGGCTTTTATCTGGTTGAGATAAAGACCTTCTATTCCAATTTTCTGTAGGGGTTTTTTAAAATCATGAATGGGTATTGGACTTTCTGATTGGTAAGTTTGAAACAGTTTTTCTGAAATCTTTCCTGGCTCCACTTTGTGCTGGTTATTTTCTCATTTTCAGGTGCCCCATTTAGGAGACACATGGATTGTGATGGTGAATGTTAACACAAAAACATGTTCATGTAGACATCAGTGATTTATTAGAAACAGTGAAGAGCAGTGAATAACTAAAACCCTTTATATTTTATTTATTATTATTATTATTTTTTGAGACAGGGTCTCACTATGTAGTTGAGACTGACCTGGAACTCACTATGTAGCCCAGGCTGGTCTTGAGCTCACAGTGATCCTACTGCCTCAGCCTCCCAAGTTCTGGGATTACAGGCATGTGCCACCATGCCTGGCAAACCCTTTGTATTTTAAAAGGACAACTAAGAGAAAGTGTGCTAAATCTAAATGCTAACTACATTTACTCATAGAAAAACTTATTTAATTTTTCCTGATGATAAAAATTGATGCTTTTTCTGGATATATTAAAGGCTGTAAATCCATATCAGAAATTTTCAAAATTGGTAAAATAGTAACTTCTGATAATTCCTCCCAAATATCATTATTTTCTTTTTTACTTTCATTCAGTGTTTATATGATTTCATAAGTGGAATATTACAATTGTTATTGGAATATACTAGATGTATATTTTTAGAATGTAATAGATATTTGAATAATATATATTTAACATTGCTATAATTAATTAAGTACAAAACTTAGCAATATTTGGCCTCTGAAAGGATGCTGTGTAAGAATCTGCAGTGGTAATTAAAAAAAATCAAAGGTTATGTGATAGAAGTGTGACTTTGCCTTGGCCAAGAGGAAAAAAGTATAAAAAGAAGAGATTATAACATTAAATTCCTGAAGTTTGGAGATTAATGAGGTCTTTGAAGGAAAATCAAGAGGAGGAGGAGGATGGGGGGGAGAAGAGGGCTTGGTTTATTTGTTGTAATCACTAATGCTGTCATGGGTAAGAGGTTGAAGTTACAGGAAGTAAAAAATATGGAGAGTAGTAGATGTTTCCGGTGGTTTACCTTAGCCAAATGGGACACCAACGTGAAGCAGCATTATTTATCGTCATATTGGTATGGCTATTTGTGCAACAAGCAACTGAATAATTTCTGGAAATGGTGTAAGAATTTAAAACAGTCATGAGAAATTTGTGCTTATTTAATGTGTTATTCAGTTTTCATTTTCTGATGTCCCTGAGAGACTGATTATACCCATCAGACAGAAAGGAAGCTCAGTTCTATGTTCCAGATGACTGCAAGTGGCACTTTATACCACTGAGAAGGGGAAATGCTAATTTATTTATAATCCCAACTGAAGCTTAGTATTGAGGAACATACTTTCTACCAGGTACCTCACACCCCTGGGAAGGCATTTTCCATCCTCAGTGCAACAACCCAGCTTGACATATGTAAGCAATTTTATTTATATGACTATTTTATAAATGTGTAAAATTTATATAGTATTTAAGTAAGTTAAGGAGAAAGTAGAAAACTCCAAGATTTTAGATACAATTATATTTGCCATATGAACAAATTTTAGCATTAATAAACTTTGTGTAATATTTCTTTAAGGTAATAAATATTGTTATATTCAAGCATAAAATTTCAAGTTTTAAAAATAAACAGTACACAAATGAATTTATCATCTCCTTTTTTCCCCAGTCTTTCCTATCCATCCTTACACAAAACAAACTTATGAACTTTGATTCTCAACTTCATGTCTTTATATTTCTAATATATGTATATTTCCAAACAACGTGTGATCTCTGTGTTACATGTTTTAAAAATTTACAATCAGGCATTGCAGAGGAGAAACAGTTCATGGCAGGCAGGAAGTAGAAAAGCAAGCAAGAGATGACCAGCTCTTTCTGCCCTTATATCTTATCCAGGATACTCAGAGCAGATAGCACTCACACCCTTAATCCTAGTGCCCTTGATCTTAGCATTGCCTCATAAATCAAGTCCAGCATCACACACTCTAGATCCTGCCACTTTGGAAAAAGCCCCACCTATGACTATATGAGGGTTTGAGGGACATCTAGACACAAGCCATAATGGGGCAATAAATGAACATCAGGATTTTTGACATATTTCCAACATTAATAGAGATTTTGAATAAGACTAAGCCAGGGACTTTCTCCCATCTGGTGCAAGATCACCTTTCTTGGCTAGTAGAAAAGCAAGCAAGAGATGACCAGCTCTTTCTGCCCTTATATCTTATCCAGGATACTCAGGGCAGATAGCACTCACACCCTTAATCCTAGTGCCCTTGATCTTAGCATTGTCTCATAAATCAAGTCCAGCATCACACACTCTAGATCCTGCCACTTTGGAAAAAGCCCCACCTATGACTATATGAGGGTTTGAGGGACATCTAGACACAAGCCATAATGGGGCAATAAATGAACATCAGGATTTTTGACATATTTCCAACATTAATAGAGATTTTGAATAAGAGTAAGCCAGGGACTTTCTCCCATCTGGTGCAAGATCACCTTTCTTGGCTTTCAAAAGAATTTGAATATCTCTTTCTAACCACAAAAGACCCTCAAACTGGTAAGGAATGGGCCTGCGACCCATTTGTATACAAGTCAGGTGAATTGACTTTATCTATCCTTGAAGTGGATCACCTGCCTGAGGTTGGGAATGATGGTGGCCATAAGTGTGCTTGAGACAGCTTCAAATTTCTATAGATTCTGGATTAAAGTCAAGGTGGTGGGCAATAAATGAACATCAGGATTTTTGACATATTTCCAACATTAATAGAGATTTTGAATAAGAGTAAGCCAGGGACTTTCTCCCATCTGGTGCAAGATCACCTTTCTTGGTTTTCAAAAGAATTTGAATATCTCTTTCTAACCACAAAAGACCCTCAAACTGGTAAGGAATGGGCCTGCGACCCATTTGTATACAAGTCAGGTGAATTGACTTTATCTATCCTTGAAGTGGATCACCTGCCTGAGGTTGGGAATGATGGTGGCAATAAGTGTGCTTGAGACAGCTTCAAATATCTATAGATTCTGGATTAAAGTCAAGGTGAAATAACCTATGATCACCACAGAAGCACTGAAAAGCCTGTTTCCATTTACAGCATCCTATCTTTTTGAAGCGGGGTTATTCTGCTGTGACAGTAACCAAAATAAAATTACAGGGTAGATTGAACAGAAATAATACACTCTGGGTGCCATTGTCTCTCATAACCCCTAGATGGACCCATCTAGTTACAAGAAAATAAGCTCAGGGCTCTTAATGTGCCATGGTGAAATTATTTCATTATATATTCCAAAATAGTAATATTAGATATAAAGTGCACAGTCAATGTAATGCACTTGAATCATCCTCCACTGGTCCATGAAAAAATTGTCTTCCATGAAAGCAGTTCCTGGTGCCGAAAAGTTTAGGGACTGCTAGGTTAGCATATTGATGAATTCACAGCTTAGTAGATTACTGGGACATGGGGCCAGTTATGGCATGTGGGTTGTTGGGCTATGACTGTAGGTACTATATCTTGTCCCAGATACCTATGACTATATGAGGGTTTGAGGGACATCTAGACACAAGCCATAATGGGGCAATAAATGAACATCAGGATTTTTGACATATTTCCAACATTAATAGAGATTTTGAATAAGAGTAAGCCAGGGACTTTCTCCCATCTGGTGCAAGATCACCTTTCTTGGTTTTCAAAAGAATTTGAATATCTCTTTCTAACCACAAAAGACCCTCAAACTGGTAAGGAATGGGCCTGCGACCCATTTGTATACAAGTCAGGTGAATTGACTTTATCTATCCTTGAAGTGGATCACCTGCCTGAGGTTGGGAATGATGGTGGCAATAAGTGTGCTTGAGACAGCTTCAAATATCTATAGATTCTGGATTAAAGTCAAGGTGAAATAACCTATGATCACCACAGAAGCACTGAAAAGCCTGTTTCCATTTACAGCATCCTATCTTTTTGAAGCGGGGTTATTCTGCTGTGACAGTAACCAAAATAAAATTACAGGGTAGATTGAACAGAAGTAATACACTCTGGGTGCCATTGTCTCTCATAACCCCTAGATGGACCCATCTAGTTACAGGAAAATAAGCTCAGGGCTCTTATGGTGCCATGGTGAAATTATTTCATTATTTTTCCAAAATAGTAATATTAGATATAAAGTGCACAGTAAATGTAATGCATTTGAATCATCCTCCACTGGTCCATGAAAAAATTGTCTTCCATGAAAGCAGTTCCTGGTGCCAAAAAGTTTAGGGACTGCTAGGTTAGCACATTGATGAATTCACAGCTTAGTAGATTACTGGAACATGGGGCCAGTTACGGCATGTGGGTTGTTGGGCTATGACTGTAGGTACTATATCTTGTTCCAGGCTCCATTTTCTTAGTTCTTCTCCTGCTCTCTACTTCCAGGATGCCACCAGTTGGGCAGCTTTCTTCTTCCACGCCCTTCTGCCATGATGTTTCTATGTTGGAACCACATGACCATGGACTGAAGCCTCTGAAACTGTGAGCCATAAATAAATTATTTTCTTCTTTAAGTGGTGTATGTGGAAAACTGATACCAGGAGTAGGGTCACTGATGAAACCATACCTGACCATGTGTTTTATGTATTTGGAATTGGTTTGTTAGAGAAGTTGGAAAAATACGAAGAAGAAGAGCGGAGAAAACCTAAAATGTTCTATCCAAAACCTGGAAGGAGATTCTGGCTGATGCTCAAAAAACCAGGATGCAGACAGGAATGTGGAGAGTAAAACTTAGTTTTGTGAGGTTTCAGATTGGAATGAGAACTCTATTAATAGAGAAATGAATAGAGGGCATGTGTGCTTAATTTTACCTAGGAATGTGTCTGTATTTTGTCCATGCCCTAAAGTTTTGTGTAAGGTTGAGATTAAAAGGTGGTGGCCTAATTAACCTGGTGGAGGAAATTTCAAGACAGACTGGTGTCTTGGTGTGAGTTTTGCCGTCTGCATTTAGCTAGATTTAAAGGAAGAGGAGTAAAAAGAAGAGCAGAAGTATTTGAAAACTTTAATTCTGTCCTCACAAGAAGCACATATATGATTGAGGCAAAGGTAGGATGAGCTGTGTGAATTATGATGCATTTAAAAATAGTCATTGAATACTTGTGCATTTAAGCACGTCTCTAAAACTTTGTTTGAAGCTATAATCACGTATTCCCAGAAGTTAATAAAAGCAGAAAAAAGGTTCATTCTGCTGTATGATATACCATATACTCTTTGATATTATCCAGATTTATTGTCATCCTTATAAATATACTCATATGGAGTATTGCATATTCTTTGTTTAGATTTCTTATGATTTCTTCCTAACACAAACATATTTCCTGTTTTACTTCCAAGCTCACATTCATCTCTCACTCTGACTTTAACCTTTCCTTACAATAAGAAGTCCAGATTCAAGGGCTCCAGAGGGTGTGAAAATGAATTGTTTTTCAGGACCAGTAACTATACTGTTCTTAATGTTTGCTGAGTAAAATAGCTCATGAAGAGTAGCATCTGTACCATGGCGTTGATGCAATTTTTGTTTTTGTTTTTTGGTACCGGGGATTGAACTCGGGTCCTTGAGCTTGCGAGGCAGGCCACCAAACCACTGAGCTAAATCCCTGGCCCATCCTTGATGCAATTTTTAACTGCAATTTTCTCTAAGAGGCAGAAGCCAGAACATGACCAAGGTAAGCTTCACTGAGTTGATATTATTTTTTTGTTTTAAGGAAGAAACAATGGAAGATTGGTGATCCAGACAAAAGGCCAAGTGACACTTTCTGAAGGGACTTCCCTGACTGTGAACTGTTCCTATGAAAGCCTACAATATCCTTCCTTATTCTGGTATTTCCAATACCCTGGCGATCGCCCACAGCTCCTCTTTAGAGTCTCAAAGGCTAAAGGGAAGCCACAAAGGTTTTGAAGCCACGTATGCTAAAGAAACGAGCTCCTTCCACTTGGAGAAAGCCTCAGTGCAACAGTCAGACTCAGCTGTGTACTACTATGCTCTGAGTGACACGGTGGCAGGAACTGCAGGGGGAGCCGAGCACAAACTAAACAGCAACAAGGGGCCAGAGGTTGCTGAGAGTCTACCTGGGAGACTCTCCTGGTTTAGGGACCAGGAACTCGTCTACTTTTGTTTCTACTCACCACACACCCCAAGCACTGTTATGGTGGAAAAGTCATACAGATCAATTCAAAGGACACAGCAGAACAAAAAGTAAATGTGTCTCACACAAGATACTTTGGTGGAGAAAAGGAGAAAAGTCTGTCACCAGAGTTCCTTAACCTCACCTGAAATTTGTCGCTTATAAACCATAAAACTCGAAGATGAATGAAATGGTTTCTGTGTTTACCTTTGCAACGAAGTCTATCTCCCTGACCTTGTCTAGGTCATCCAGAGAAATAGTGTATTTAGAGACATGGGTAGAGCATATGAAAGTGCAAATGCTTAATATCTCTGATGAGCTGGTGATTTCTTAGCGAAGTTTCAACCCAAGAAATAATAGTTTCTTAAAGAAAGAAAGTAACATAAGCAAGGCAGAAGGAATAGAGAGCGTTGTTTGTCTACACCCATTAAATGAGAAGATAAACCAAATTTCAGTCATTTTTTTCTTGGCAGGTGGGTAAGATGACATAAACACAATGGTATTCTCCACAATAGTTCACTTATTACTAGAAACCATGGAGACCTCCCACCCTCCCTAATTTTTCAGTGAGCCGCCTTATCAGCAAGATAGTACTTGAGATAGGCTGTGTCCGGGGTCTGGTGAATGAAAACTATTGAGATGACAGTCTTTTGAGTAGATTGATGGAGGAAGGGAACCTAGCTTCCCACAAATCTTTCAGGGCAGTTTTACAGAAGAGGAGTTAGAAATGGAGAGGCAAATGGTGGCCAGTGTTATGAGAATACAGGATGACAAAGAAGAATCCTTGGATTTAATTGGAGGTAACTTGGTGCCTTTCCAAATACAGTAGTACCTCAGTTTATGAAGTTAACTTGTTCTATGAGTTTGGGGAAGATGGTTGCATTTGTGTTTGTGTGGGAAAGATGGCCCTGGTTATGTTTGTCACCTGATGCAGAATTTGCGAATAGAAGCAAAATTTTGCTGAATGCTTTTGTTTGTGAACCAAATTGCAGTCAGAAGTGTTCATGAACTGAAATATTGCAGTGTTAGAGGTTATCTTTTGTCTTGTACATTGTCATACTTAATGTACATCATTTTCCAGCACACAGAGAGTGCAATTTTTCTGGTGAGAAGGATTCTGGAGCAAAAATTTAGGAGTGAAGGGATGGTATATGTACTTTATTGTCTCAGAGGCCTTTGAAGAATGTCACCATACAGATTACAGACATGGTTATTGTCATCGAAGAGGCATTGCTTACAGATCTTTTACTTCTAATGATTATTCCTTCTTAGTCATTGTTGTTGTTTGTTTGTTTCAGTGCCAGGGATCTGGTAGAAGATTATGAAGAGCTAAGAAATGTAAAGCCAAAATTGCTTAAAAGACTTTATAAAAAAAGTCCTCTACCACCTTCTGCAACAGCAGCTGCAACTCATCAATATGACAAAAGAGTGTACATTGGTACATTTTAGGTATACAATATGAAGACATTTATCATTGGAAATTTGTACCTTTACATATCTTGGTTCTCATTTTTCCCCATTCCCCTGCCCTCCCTTCAACACCTCCACCCTTCCCTATTTACAAAGACTTTGTTTCCACTTTTTCATTTTCTCATACTAATTCCATTTCCTTCTTTCCATTGCCCTACCCTTCCCACATCCCCTTCCCCTTTGCCCCTTTTCAACCTATTTCACATCATCTATTATACATTTTGATCCTTATTTACACTTTCAGTTATTCACACCAGAGAAACTATTTGGTATTTACACATGTGTGTCCTATTTATTTCACTTAAGAGTGCTGTCTCAATGTGCATCCATTTAGCTATAAATTTCTATAGTTTTGCATTCTTTATGACTGAGTAGTACTCCATTTTATAAAAAAACATTTTTGGGAGGTACATTTTTGGGAGGGCAGGGACAAAGGGAAAAAATGAGAGCCAAGACCTGTCATGTGAAGGTACAGGATCCCAGTAATGAATGTAACTGTATTGTAGACCTAGATTGTACCAATAAACTCAATAAAAAAACACATTTTCTTTTCTTTTTTCCCATTAAGTTTATTGGTACATTTAAAGCAAACAATACAATTACATTTATCATTGGGATCTTGTACCTTTACATGATGTATCTTGGTTCTTGTTTTTTCCTCATAGCCCTGCTCTCTCTTCAATCCTTCATCCTTCCCTGTTTACAAAGGCTTTGTTTCCATTTTTCCATTTTTCCACATTATTTCATTTACCTTATCTCTTTTCCCCCTCTCCTTCCAACTTCTCCTTTAGCCCTTTTCTTCCTATTTCACACTATCAATTATACCATTTGAACCTTATTTACACTTTTAGTTTTTCACACCAGAGAAGCTCTGAGCGGGGGTGTCCCTTCCCCAAGCCCCGCCCTTAAAATGCACATTTGTGTAGTTGTGACAGAAGATGGTCTGCATCCAATAATGCTGTCTGCTTATCAACTTTCCTAATTATCAATCTTGGGAGTGCCATCCCAGTAACTGAACACACAAGTTTGACTGTCCATAATGGATGTAACCATCTCGGACTGTGAATTCTCCTTCTGATTCATCATCATCCAAGAGATGAACATAAAATGCTCCCCACTGCTGTGAACTGGCAAGGAAATCACCTCCTTCTACATGCAAGTATCTGGTACTGTCTGGGATTGAAGTGGATTAAACAAAGCCACCTTTATTCCTGAGGCAATGCATAAGTCAGCATTTTTCAATGACTGCTGCTTTTTGGAAGGTTTGGAGATAACTTTTATCTGCTTGGTGAGAAATACACAACGTCATCACTGGTGCCACAGAACATCTTTACAGACAACATGAAATGTTTTCTCTTGTCTGAATCAGATATGTACAATGTCTTGGCTGTGCAATAGTTGTTTCCTTCCAAATTCAGCTGCTGCATTTCTTGGTCACTATTTCTTATTCCAATAAATGAAGATGGTTAAGACTTGCTCAGAATGACCATCGCGTTCCATTTGTTCTTTTTTATTCTTCCATCCACTGCCCATACGATATACACAAGGTGGAGGGCAAAAACACCTTTTTTCATTTCCGTATGACTTCTGTGCAACTTTTGCATGAAGAATATGTACGGTTCGATCCCCAGTCTTTTAAATAATTTCCCATAGCTTCCCTAGTGAGTTCTTTAGGCGGAGTTCGCTCCAAATTTCCTTTTAATCCACGCCATGGTACTTCAAGACTTACTTAAGGTAAGTCACAGTTTGGAACACTTCGACGCACCTCAAAGCACCTCAGCCGGTATCTGTATCACTCTCCTTTTCTTTCGAGATCATAATGGTTCTGAAGAACTGTAATACTTCCATTTGAATGATAGTCTTATAATTCTAATGATCTGTCATAACAGGCGCCATCTTTCACAAACTCTTGCCAAAACTCCAACCCTCGCGATAGCCCCCCTTCCCTGATCCCTCTCCTCCACCCCTTCCCTTTTCCTCACTCCTGGGTTCCACCCAACCCCGCGTTCCTTTGCGGCAGCCACAGCGAAGAAGCAGAGGCTTCACACCGCCCGCTGCAAGGGGTCCTGCACGCTCTCTTCCCTGTAAACCTACCCCAGCGATCTCGATATCTATTCCTACATCAGCACCCCTATGAATATATTTTTAGTTGAGTTTTCTTTAATATACTCAGTTTTACTGGTATCAAACAACAAGAACAAGAACAAGAACAAACAGAACAATAAATCAGTGTTTACATAGTTAAGAGTTTCTAGCTTTGAATTTCAGATAATTTGCAATATATTCATCCTAGATCAGACCATTAAATTTTATTTTACAGAACTAGCCTTTCACCCAGCACCTACAAAGAACATAATAAAAATATTAACTCTTGAATAGAGGTGTAAAGATTTAAATTATAAAAAACAAGAAGTAGCATTTTCACAGAATAATGCTGCTTTTTTAAAAAAAAGGTGTTCACTTATATATCCTTTTATGCAAAAAATTTACTGAATGTGTATGGTGGGACATAGCTCTTTTTTTGTGTTTTGAGACAGGGTCTCACTATGTAGTTGAGACTGACCTGGAACTCAGTTTGTAGTCCAGGCTGGTCTTGAACTCACAGCGATCCTCCTGCCTCAGTCTCCCGAGTGCTGGGATAACAGGTGTGCGCCACCACGCCCGGCACATTGCTCTGATTTTACAGCTCATTCTATCTACTGACCTTTACAGAGACTCACTCTAACATGCAAAAGCTCAATTTTCAAACTCCACATTTGCTTCATCTATACCAATATTTATCTATAAATGATCAATACTTAGCATTGTATCAGTATCAGTAACTCTTCAAAGCACACTGTGAAGAGGAAGAGAACAAATTCACTCTGTGCTCCGCTCTTGCTCTTCAGTTCCCCTCCAGAAGCATTTAATAGCATTCTGTAGATCATTTTGCACACGTCCAGAGGTGCCGGGGTTAACCTGTGCCCCAGGAGGATCTCAAATCTTCATTCTCTTCAGGTCCCTCCTTTCACCTCTATTTCCTCACTTGCACATGTGCTAAAGGCAGACATAGTGGTTTATTGTCATGTGATACTGTGTTGTACCTTATTTTTGCACACAGAAACCAGAAGTCTGCATGGATAAAGAGAGGCACCTTTAAGGAAATTTTAAACTACTTTGAATTGTAACAAAAAGTAGAGAAATAAAATTTCCAACCTCAACCATTTTTAAGATCATTCTACAGGGATGTAATTATATTTTTTCTTTTGGCTAGAATTCATATTTTACATTATTCAGTAAGTGTGAAATTCAGGAGTGTTTGACTATGAAATATTACAACTTTTTCATCCCGATGTGGGGTTGCATGCCTGTAATCCCGGCCCCCCAAGAGGCTGAGGCAGAGATCCAGATGATCAAGGTCAGCCTGAGCAACTTAGTGAGATCTTGTCTTAAAAATAAAAGATAAAAAGGGCTGAAGACGGAGCTCAGCAGTAAGATGACCTGGGATTTAATTCCCAGTACTGTACTGAAAAACAAAGTTAGTTTCACTTTACCTCTGGAAAAGCTTTTGTTAGGAAATTGCAATTCCTTAATATTGATATTATTTTGAATAGCAAAAATACAGCCTTTCAAATAACAACGATTCTTCGAGGAACACCCATCTAGTCACTATTTTTATTTCATTTAACAAACGTGAATTGGAAAATATGAGTGAAAACATTAATGAAAAATGTCAGTCACTGCTGTTAGTGTCGGCGACCACCATAACTCAATAATGACTTGACTTTCTGCTATTTCCTACACCCTTTTATGATATTTCAATAGCTCAGACTAAAACAGATGCATGAGACTACCAAAGCTTGTATTAAAATGTTCAAGGTAATTGATGTCCTGTCAGCTACACAGACACCCTGGGATTCACTACGAAATCACCTATGTGTCAGGAAGAGTCCTACAAACTAAAAAGATCCTTCATATTGGCCAAGGCCACCTGATGACCAACAGGTGCTTTAGAAATGAATTCAGGAATGGGACACCCCTGACCTTTAGAAGGAGCCCAGGAAAACATTCAGCCCATGTCCATCCCTGTCCACCAGGGGGTGCAGCTTCCTAACACAAGCTCATTTTCTGAGCAAACTGTACAGTTCGACTCATCATTGCAGTAGCAGTTCAACAGTTCTTCATGTTAAGTGAAATCATTTGGGTGACCCTCCTAAGATGAACATTTCTCCAAGCTTTGTGACTGTGATATTCTTCATACTTGGTGGTGAGTAAAGTACCTTTTAAAATTTGGACTCTTGTAATGTCAAAGGGAGCAAAATTTTTACCCATAAATTTATCTAAGAGTTGTATCCTAAAGGTGACACCGATCTCTTTTTCCCCCCAGGAAGGACATATGGAGACTCAGTGACGCAGATGGAAGGCCAAATCACTGTCCCAGAAGAGGCTATGCTGACCATAAATTGCACTTACACAGCCACAGGATACCCTGCTCTTTTCTGGTACATCCAGTACCCTGGAGAAGGTCTGCAGCTCCTCCTTAAAGCCTCAAAGGACAAGGATAAGGGAAGCCACAAAGGATTTGAAGCCACGTATGATAAAGACACCAGCTCCTTCCACTTGCAGAAAGCCTCAGTCCAAGAGTCAGACTCGGCTGTGTACTACTGTGCTGTGGGTGACACAGTGGCAGGAACTGCAGGGGGAGCCGAGCACAAACTCTGGGCAGTGAAAAGGGGCCTGGCTGCTGAGTGTCTGCCTCTGGGCCACTTTGGTTTCCGCACAGGCTGTGATACGTAGGCTACTTTTTCTCTCACTGATGTAACACCATACAAGTACCCAGAGCAGAAGACAAGAAGTAGATGTCACTTATACCCAGCTCTTCACCAGTAACACTGAGATACAATCTGATATCAATAATTCCACATGGAAGGGCAAAGTAATTTCAAGGTAAGAGCATGTAAACAATGAGTGGTCTCTTTGCTTCTCTTTGCGGACACAGTCCAGCCCCACATCTGGTTACAGCTTATCCTGGAAAATTTTGCTGTCCTTACACTTTTAGGCAGCTAAGTGTGCTAGAGAAAGTGGCATTTTTATATTTCTCTAACAAAATGAGGAATGAGAAAGAATAGGAGAGCTACCGTCCCCATTCCCAAAATCTGGGATGCCTTTTTTTTGGTAGTGGAAAATGCTTCGGTACTTTCTTGAAAGGAAGCAATAAGTAATACTGTGATAAAATATTTCAAAAGTAGACTGTACACTCTGTTACCTGAGCAGGAAGTTCACAAAAGATTAATAGAAAACAGAACAGTAGCAATGAAATGTACAAGTGAATTGAAAGCAGAAACCAAATGTAAGAAGACATGTTGCTTGTATCTGTGAATCAGGAGCATAATGAATAATGCGCCATGATATGACTCCTTTCTTGTTAGCTTTTAAATGTTCCATTTAAAAAGTAAAAGTTACATGTGCTACTTGTAGAATGCCAAATGGCTATACCATCAAAATCTAAAAAAGGTTCATTTCCTAAACATGTGTACAAACAAATATAGAAAGAGGACCTACATATGAAAAATATGGTCTTTATTCAAGTTGCACAGCTTTATTTTCAGCATTTTCTTTCTTCTTCTGCTCATGCACTGATGTCTGTGAGAGGCCAGCACTGTGTTCAGTGATTGGTCCTTCAAGAGTAGCCGGTGGGTACCTTCCACCTGCTCTCAGGCGGGAAAGCTTGGGCTTCTCGACAGAGAAAAAAGGGGAGAGAAGAAAGGAGAACAGAACTTCAAACAGTGCAGCCATGCCAAGAGAGGAAAGGGACTTTCACCATGTAGAGGAAGGGGTTCTGTTCTGGTAAATCAGAAGGTAGATAGAGTGATGTTCAAGAGAAAGGGAGGGGACAAAAGCGCAACTGAAATGGCCATGTCTAAGTGATGAGTGCCCATGACTACTACATAAATAGTTTGTGAGAATGCCTCAGGTGAGTTAGTTTTCAGGGCCAGTGGGAAGTTAAGCATATATTTTTATCTTTTATCATTATAAAATACTGTGGAAAAGAGAAAACCAGCCGCTGGAGTATAGAAAAGGTGACAGCAGTGAAGTCAGTGTAAGTTCAGAGGATAAGCAGGTATACGGAAGATGAAATGTTGTATTACAGAGCAGGAAAAGATGAACCCTGGGCCTAGTGAGGGAAGCCACCAAGGTCTGTCCTGGGCATCCGCACTGGATAATGGAGGAGTCTGAAGCTCTCATAGCTTTCAAATCATTGGGAAAAATGGTGTGTGTGTGTGTGTGTGTGTGTGTGTGTGTGTGATGTTCAGAAGGGAGATGGTGAAGAAGTGGATCAAGGAGAGCAATTGTGTAATTGGCAGACCATCCCTGCTCTCCGTGGCAGCTGGCACAGCAGAAAATAATCATTTTCCAAAGCCAGCAGAAAACTGAAAATGTCTTCAATGAATTGAGGAACAGCATTCTAAACAGTAAGAAAGCAAAAACAATTATAACAGGTAAATATAATGTTTAATTAGTATAGGGAAGTGATATGTTATTCAAGAAATGGAGTGGGGCTGGGGATTTAGCTCGGGGGTTCTGTCGCCTGCCTCACCAGTGCAAGGTTCCGAGTTCGATTCCCAGTATCCGTCCCCAAAGAGAAATGGATTTACACACAGTAGCCTATGTGGTGAAAATATTGTCACATGGTGGCTTCCACTAACTTACACCATCAGTGGCACTGATTAGGCAGAATATCTCTTTCCTCCAAAACTTATGTATTGCCAACTTTTTTTAAACCATTGCCTATTAGTTAGGATTTTCTTTTTATATAAATAATTCATTTAATTACGAATTGGATGGAGCTTTATTTAGTGTATTTAAGTCATTTGTATTTTCTGTATATTGTCCATGGATATATCCGTCCACTTTAAATGATGTAATCTCTGTTCTTCACATCTATCTTTGGTCCAGCCATCTTATATTTCCAACTTTCTGTCCTTTTATTGTGACTTAATTTTTAAGAGTAGTTTTAGGTTGAAGCAAAATTGAGAGGAAAGGTACCATATCAGTTTGGGTTCACTAGAGAAATAAATGTATATTTAATGTTTGCCCTGCTGAGTTTTGTTCTTGCTCTGGTCTGATTCTTTTATTTTCATTTCTCTATTTGGTACATGAGTGTTTATCCTGTTCCATTTTTATCTTGGGAGTATGTAACTTGCATTTTAATTTTTATAAGAGCCCATCGCTAAATGTTTGTCTTTCATCTCTTAGGAGATTTTGGACTTGGACCTTTGAGAAATTATGGAACTGTTGAGACTTTGGAAACTCTGGGTGATAGACTGAATGCACTTTGTATTATTAGGTTGACCTGAGCTTTTAGATCCAGGGGTGGAATGTTATTGTTTAGATTTGAAATGTTTCTGCAAACTCATGTGATACAACTTGCTAGCTAACTAATGAGCTTTTTGGGAAGTGGCGGTGTAATGGATTGTGAATGGATTAATTTATTGATGTGATCATAATTTGACAGTATTAAAGGGAATGGATGGAAACAGCAGGTGGGGCCTAGGTGAGGGGAGTGAATCATGAGGTTTGAGGTTGGATACTATGTCTGCTCCCTGGCCTCTTCTTCTTTACCTCTTTCTCTCTCTCTTCTTCCTTGCTGCCATGAGGCAAGTGGCTTTGGTCCGATATGATCTTCTGCCATGTCTTTCTGTTTCACCTCAGGTCCATAGAAATCCACAGGTAACTGTGGATTGAAATGTCTGATACCATGATATAAAGTAAAACTTTCTTCTCCTATGATCGTTTTCTTGATAAGTGGCCACTGAGCAATATCGTGGTGTACATTAAGGATCATTTTTGTTGTTTTATGTCATATGGGTTTGGAGTAATTTATGATAACATAAATTTATCACTGTAATATCACGCAGAATACTTTTACTGACCTATATGCCCTCTCTTGTCTACCTGTTCACTCCATTGCCAACCTCAAACCTCCCAGCAATTGACCTTTTTACTGTCTCCATAGCTTGGCCACCATTTTCCAGATTGTGATTTAATTTTACTCATAAAGAATATAGCCTTTTCAATTAACTTATTTCACTTGGTCATATGTGTAAGTTTTCTCTCTGTCTCTCATGACTCTATAGCTCATTTTATTTCAACACTAATGAGTATTCCATAGTCGAGATATACCGTTGTTTATTTCACCTCCAGAAAAGCACATTGGTTGCTTCCAAATTTCAGCAGTTGCAAATAAATCTTCTGTAAATGTTCCTGGGCAAGTTTCTGTGTGGACTCATATTTTCAGCAACTTTGGGTAAATATCGAGGATCTTGATTGAGAGGTCATGTGACAAGAGTAGATAAGGAACTACTAAGCTGTCTCCCAATGTGACTGTAGACTTGTTCATTCCTACCAGCATGATTTCTGTTCCTGTTGCTCAAATATCCTGGCTAGAATCTGCTGTTGTCTAGTTTTGCCTGTCATTTTAATAGTTGTGTAAAGGTATTTCATTGTTTTTGTTTTCCTTTCTCTAATGATAATATGATTTAGAACATATTTTCATATGCTTATTTGACCACGGCCTATGTTCTTTGGTAAAGTATTGCTATGGTCTTATAATAGGTTGTTTTTTGTTTATTGTTGAATTTTAAAGACTTACTTGTTCATATTGGATGATAGCCTTTCACCAGACACATGTTTTGAGATATTTTCTCCCAGTCTATGTCTTATCTTCTCATTTTCTTGGTATTGTCTTTTGTAGAGCAGAAGTTTTTAATTTTAAGAAAATTCAGCTGAGCAATGATTACTTTAATAGATTTTGCCTTTAGTGTCGTATGCAGTAAATTGTTGCAATATGCAAGTTTTTGTGGGTTTCATTTTTTTGGTAGTTTTGTGTTATAGTGGTATTAATCTAGTCACAAGTGTGAAGTTCTAATGACCTCTTATTAAATATAGACCAGACTCACAAGACTGGTGTGGTGGGGTTTATGTGTCCAACACAGGAACCTTATGGGACACTAACACCATAGCCACTTCTCTGAGACCTACTATTTCTGTGGGGTGTAACATCACCACCTACCAGGATATTGCGAGTTATAGCAGATGCTCACAAAAGTGTGTAAAAGCTCTACCTGGATCCATATTATTTCAGGCAAAGAAATTAAATACTGTGATATCTATCTATCTCTATCATCCATCTTTTGAGAGAGATTTATTTATTTTTTTATTTTTTCAGCTTTAATTGAATTTATTGGTACATTTTAGGGATACATTACAGAGATTTATTTTAAGGAGTTGGTTCCTGCAATTGTGGGGACTGAAAGACCTACCTCTGCAGGCATATGGTTGGGCTGAATATTCAAGGAGCGGTTGATTTTGCAGCTCAAGTTTGAAGGCCAGTTGGAGGCAGAATTTCATTTTGCTTGTGGACCTCTGTATTTTTTTTTTTGACGACCTTGAACTGGTTTGATAGACCTTCACCTACTCTGTGGAGGATAAAATGCTTTACTCAAAGTCTACTGATTTAGAAAGTTAGTCTTCTCTAAAACACACCATATACATTTTAACAATAGACTTAACAAAGCCTCACTCTAGTACTGGTTGAAATTTAGCATCATATTGATAAGAGAGAACTTCTGTAAACAGTCTGAAGCCTACAAAATGTTAAAAAATACGAAATAACTGCTGCCTTTTGCTTCTATAATTTGCTTTGCTTGTTTAACTAAACACCTGAGGTTTCACCATTGAAGCTTAAAGGCACGTAGCCCGCCTAAAATTAACAGATACCGGAGGTGCTAAGCCGCATCCCAGATAACAAACTAAGATAACAGTCCCTGAGCCATCAAATTTTCTATAAACCTTAAGACTATAAAGGTGTTGAGATGAAAGGAATGTCACCAGTCCTGCTTTCCCAACCCGGACCTCCACTCTTGTGGGCTGGAATAGCTAAAGATAAAAATCCTGAAAGAAAATGCTACATTTGGGTTAACATTGTACTGTCTGTGACCATGATTTGTGATGGGAACTGTGGGAACTAGAATGTCTTATCACCTAAAATGCGGTCATGATTGTAAGACTCCTATAAAAGGCAGACTGTAACCCAGCCCAGACTCAGTCATTTGGCACAGCACTTGGTGCAGACTGATCCTTTGCTAGCAAAGTAAACATTTTTTTATTTTGCACACTGCATGTCATTTGCCATTTCCTCCCACAACAATGTGGTCTAGTAATATGTGTTGGATGAAGTAATAAATAAACAAATTGTTCTGAATGGCAACAAAGAGACTGGCGACAGAGGAATTTGTGACCTATACTGAGATGTCATAATAATAAGTTTCGCAAAAATCCCTGAGACACCCTTGGTCTTTCTTCAAATTCCTATTCAAGAATATAATTTGGCTCCCATTGTCTCTACAGGTATATCATCCTTAAGGAAGAGTAGGTCTTTCAGCACAATGTCCCTGAGGTACCCTTTTGTGTTTCCAAGACTCTTGCCAGTTCAAGGGGACATTGTAAGTGGACAGGGACTGTGGTGTCCAGATAAATATTATTGCAAAATACAGTCTGAACTTGGCAAACTTGTGTTGTCTGTAAAGAGAAACTTTTCTTGCATGAATGCCAAGTAAGCTGTTCCTTGGAATGCTGATCATACAGTAGACAATAATATATTCTTTTTTTTTTTTTTGGTCCCAGGGATCAAACTTGGGTCCTTGCACTTTCAAGGAAGGCAGTAGCACCACTGAACTAACCCCGCTGCCCTCAATAATATATTCTTATAGAAAAAATTATAAGAAATAAAGGGAGGAAGAGATGGAAAATGATGATGGAACCTTTATTAACATTATTTTGATCACATTTTATGGTGGTGTAAACGCACTGGTGTTCTCCAGAGTATGTTAGCTAGCCAGGAGTGGTGGTGCACACATGTAATCCCAGCACTCAGGAGGCAGAGGCAGGAGGATCACTGATAGTTGAGGCTAGCCTGGGCTCCATAGTGAGTTCAAGGCTTGCCTGAACTACCAAGTGAGACCCTGTCTCATAAAACCAAAACAAAATTGGTTACCTATAACACAAAATTGTCCTCTCTCACTTTGGTGGTCTTCATGCTAAGTATCTATGGAGACGCCCCACAGACACACTTCAAAGTGTGTTTTTTAATGTGCTAGGCATTTCTTACTCCAATCAAGTTAATATATCATGATAACAGACACAATCCACTGCTTTTCAACTTGATAATCAGGTATGTTTCCTCAAACTACATTTAATCGCCAAATAAAGGCAATAGCTAACATAGTGTGCAATCATGGCAGCATAGAGGATGAAGTCTTGGAGACAAGACTTAGTTCAGTCACCAAGAGGCCCAGAGGGGCTGTAGCTACTGAAAGTACCCAGCAATAGGGAGTTCATGAACTCCCTGGCTTTTATTTATAATATCAGAAAATATTGCTTCTCGGCCTTTTGGCTAAGATCAAGTTATAATATCAGAAAATACAGGAGAAAAGAAGAAGAGAAACAGGAGAGAAAAATAAAAAAAACAAAAAACAGCTTGAGCAAGAAGCTGTCTCAGGGCTAGGCAGTTTTTCTTGAGGTCATTGGAAAGACTGGCCAGACACCATGCTTCATTAAAGTAAACTTCTTGTTATTTAACCATTTGACTTTCACAAAGTCTGTGTGCTTTTGCCCTGAAGTTTAACCATTCATTTCTTGGCCCAGTTCCCCACAAATGTCAGATTTGTAATTTGCTCCAAACAATACAACATTCTACGTATGACTGAAAATGTACTAATTCCTTCCCCCAAATAGGAGGCAATGTTTTTTGTTTGATACTCACTCTTCTTCTGAAATTATATCATTTATAATGTAGATTGAACAATATTTAAATACCTATATAAAGTCAATGAACATTATGTTTCAAAGAAAGAAAAGATATTTGCATAATATATGTGAATATATGCAGAAGGAAAATAGGAAATAAATACTCATGACAGTTACAGACCTTGTTTCTAGGATTAGTCATGCAGTCATAGCTGATATTTATAAATATCTTCTTCTACACCTTGTGTATTCCCCTGGCCTTCAGCAAACACCTCAGTGGGTCTTGGTTCTTTATCCAGCCTTCATTTTGAGGATTGGGCCCATTTGTCATCCTGCCTGGATTGGAAGGTGTCGCTAGTTTCCTGTTGACCTTAATTTCAGGGCCTGGTAATATTAGCAGATGCCCTAAGGGGTGGGTATTCTAGACTCCATAAATATTCTTCCTTCCATTGTGGAGTAGTAGTCCAATTTCCCCTAGGAGTCTCTGTCAATCACCCTCACAAACACCATCGGTTCTGTTTAGTCTGTTGACTCAGAAGCATGAGGAATCCAAAATGACTAGGTTAAAGTCTTAGTTTTCAGGTCAACGGAATTATTGTTGTGCCTCTTGGTAGCTACCTCCCCATTTCTCCTCATGTGTAGGCCAACAGAGCATAAGGTCACTGGAACAAGAAGCAAAAATTTTGCTAGTGGGTCTCTAATGATAATTGGTACCATTCGCATTTCTACCCCTTCATTCCCAAACCAATTCATCCCAGCTATGGGAAAAATAGTACCAAATATTGGACACAGTTTGAGCATATAAAGCCATCTGAAGAACCTTTCCTCAGCCCCTGGATGGCATTTTCACCTAGTTGGTGTTGTAACTACATCTTCAAAAGGCTATTCCGGGGCCGGGGATTTAGCTCAGCGGTTCGGCGGCCTGCCTCACAAGAGCAAGGACCCAAGTTCGATCCCCGGTACCAAAAAAAAAAAAAAAAAAAAAAAAAAGGCTATTCCACTGTTCTATCAATCCAGCTCCTTTTGGATAGTGGGTAACATGGTAAGACTAGCAAAGTCCATGAGCATGATCCCATTTCTGCAGTTCTTTGGCTAGGAAGTACATTCTTTGGTTAGAAGTAGTGCTGTATGGAAGACATGAGAGAGAATGAGCATTCTATAAGTCCAGGAAGGGTACTTTTGGCAGAAGCACTACATATGCAAAAGGCAAATCCATATCCACAATAGGCTCTACAGCAGTAAGAACAGGGCACTACCCTGTCCACAATGGAGGCATTCCAATATAAACAGCATGGGAACAGATTACAGGCAAATCACCCTAGGAAATGATAGTGCTGGTCTCTACTGCTGGCAGACTGGGCACTTCGTCAACATGAAGACTAACGTATCTTATCTTTCTTTCACCAGCTGTGCTGGTGAACCTGAGTCTTTGTTCATGTTAGGCAGCTTCTCTACCACTGGGCCACATCATCAGCCATTTTCAGTTTTAACCTATAACATTTCCCTTTTTTTCTTTAGAAGGATTTATTGTATCTGCTATAATGCATGTCTTAAGTGTGATGCAATGTGATATTTAAAGTGGTAGCATTTGCTTAGACAAAAAAAGTCACTTATTATTCTTAGGAATGCACCTATTAATTCATTTGTGCATTTAAGAAATAGTTATTAACAGACTGCTATGTTTCTTACACTGTTCCATGTAGCAGAATAGTATACTGGATAAAGGTTTAATTCTTACCATCCCAAGTCATCTGCAAATGTCTAAGTCTGTGTTGATATTCTTCTGATTTTATCCTAAAACTTGCAGATAGGGTTTTTCAGTGAACCACAGGCACCAAATTGGCTAAAGAAGAAAAAGTATCATTAAATTTCTCTTAGAAATGTCAGGTCATGAAGTTTCCAAGTAAGGTGATATTTAGGGTAAAAGTAAGCTAATGGAAAATACTAACTATTCATTAGAATTAAATAGAATCACTTGACAGTCAACAGATATCGTAGAAAAAAAAAAAAAAGCCAGAGGTAAGAATACAGCATTGACTTTTGAGACAACTGGTAAATAATCAGCTGAATTTAGTATCCTGCCACAAGGGGCTGCATCTTCTCAACACACATTTCCTGAGCTCACAATTGTTTTTCACTGGGACTTTAATCTTTTCTTACATTAAGAGATTAAGACTCAAGATCTTCAGAGGTCCTGGAGATGAACTGTTGTATAGGACCAATTATTGTACTACTCTTAATGTTTGGTAAGTGAAATGGTACGTTAAGCTTAATGTCTGTTACATAATGTTGATAAAATTTTTAACGGTAATTTTTTCCTAAGGGGCAGAAGCCTGATCATGACCAATGTAAGAAGCACTGACTTGATTTTTTTTTAAGGAAGAAATGATGGAGACTCAGTGACTCAAACAGAAGGCCAAGTTGTCCTCTTAGAAAAGGACTCTCTGAGTGTGAACTGTTCCTATGAAAGTTTAGTGTATCCTGCTCTATTCTGGTATGTCCAATACCCTGGAAAAAGTCTGCAGCTCCTCCAGAAATCCACAAAGGACAAGGAGAAAGGAAGCAAGAAAGGTTTTGAAGCCACATACAATAAGGAAACCAGCTCCTTCCACTTGGAGAAAGCCTCAGTGCAAGAGTCAGACTTGGCTGTGTACTACTGTGCTCTGAGTGACACGGTGGCGGGAACTGCAGTGGGAGCTGAGCACAAACTCTTAGCAGCAACCAGGGGCCTGGCTGCTGAGGGTCTGCCTCTGGGATCACTCTAGTTTAGGGACCAAATGCTAGTTTATTGTTGTTGCCAAGACCCAAACAGGGTTGTGACATAAAAGTCCTCCAAATCTTCCTATTTCACAGTATGAATTACACCATTTGAACCTTGTTTACACTTTTAGTTTTTCATACCAGAGAAACTATTCAGTATTTACTCAAGTGTGTCCTATTTATTTCACTTAAGAGTATGGCCTTAATATGCATCCATTTAGCTGGTCTCTAGTTTAGCTATGTCTCTAGTTTCTCATTCTTTATAGCTGAGTAGTACTCCATTTTATAGAAAAACCTCATCTTCTTTATCTGGTTTCTAGTTGATGGGCAATTGGGCTGTTTCCAAGTTTTAGCTATTATAAACTGTGCTGCTGTAAACATGGGTGTTGATGTGGTATGATTGTTTTAATTCTTTTGGAAAGATACCCAACAGAGGAATGGCTGGGTCAAATGGGACCTCTAATCCTAGTTTTTTGAGGTATCTCCATATTGCTTTCCACAGTGATTGCACCAGTCTACGCTCCAACAAACAATGGAGAGTGTAGACTTTCTCCTCACACCCCTGCCAGCATTTGTTATTTGTTGATCAATGCCAAGAAAACAGCAGAAGAACAAAAAATAAATATTTCTCGCACAAGATGTTTTCACAGCAGGAGAGAGGACAGTCTGGCTTGGTAGTTTCTCAACAGTGATAGAACTTTGTGATTTTAAAGGCATAAAACTTCAAGATAAAAAAATGGTCTTGGTGTTGTTTTCAGCATCTCTTGAAGGACCGGTGAAACTCAACATTTTTTCTTTTTTAAAATTAATTAATATTATTGGTACATTTAAGGTATACAATGTAATGACATCCATCATTGGAAATTTGCACCTTTACATAATCCATCATGGTTCTTATTTTTTCCCCATTCCCCTGCCCTCCCTTCAACCCTTCCACCCCTCCCTATCTACAAAGACTTTATTTCCATTTTTTCCTGAGGTTAATTCCATTCCCGTATCACTTCCCCTTCCCCTTTGCACCTTTTCTTACCTTTTATGTTATACCATTTATTTATCTGTTATACCTTTTAGTCCTTATATATGTTGCAGAAGGAATTGTTAAATGACACACATGCAGAGACACAGGAGAAGGTAAAATAAAAAAATTTACTTTGCTCATAAAGGATCGGTCCATACCAAAAGCTGTGCCTAAGGATCGACCCTGGGCTGGGTTACAACCTGCCTTTTCTAGGAGTTTTACAATCATGCCCTTATTTTAGGTGATAAGATATTCTAATCTCCACAGTTCCCATCATAAAACATGGTCACAAGATAGTTTCACTATTAACTCAAATGTAGCAATTTCTTTCAAGATGTTTATCCTTAGCTAAAGAGTGGGGCCAGAATTAGGAAAGCAGGACTGGTGATATTCCTTTCATCTTATCACCTTTATAGCCATATTGTTTACAGAAAGTTTTATGGCTCAGGGACTGTTATTTTGTTTTGAACATTTGGTCTCATCCTGGAATGCAGCTAAGCACCTCTGGCATTTGTTAGTTTTAAACTGGTGCTACCTGCCTTTAAACTTCACTGGTGAAACCTCAGGTGTTTTGTTAAACAAGCAAAGGAAAGCAAATTACAGAAGCAAAAGACAGAAGTCATTCTACATTTTCCTAACATTTTGTGGGTTTTAGATTATTTACAAAAGTTCTATCTATCATTTACACTTTCATTTTCTCACACTAGAGAAACTATTTGGTATTTACACCTATGCACCATATTTATTTCACTTAAGAGTATTACCTCAATGTGCATCCATTTAGCTATAAATATCTCTAGTTTCTCATTCTTTATAGCTGAGTAGTACTCCATGAAAACATTTTTTTTCCAGTCTCCTGTTGATGGGCAGGTGGGCTGCTTCCAAGTTTCAGCTATCATGAATCATGCTGCTATAAGCATAGGTGCACATATATCACTGTGGTATGATTCTTGTAATTATTTGGGGAAGATACCCAGCAGGGGGATAGCTGGGTCATATAGAATCTCCAATCCTAGTTCTTTGAGGTATCTCCAGACTGATTTCTACAGTGGTCACAACAGTTTGCACTCCCACCAACAGTGAACGAGGGTTGCTTTTTCCTCACAGCTCCACTAGCTTTTATTATTGATTGATTTCTTAATAGCAGCCATTCTTTCTGGGATGAGGTGGAATTTCAGCATTGTTTTCATTTGCATCTCTCGAATGACCAGTGATGTTGAACATTTTTCCATATGTTTATTTGCTATTTCTTCTTTCTCTGAGAAATGGCTGTTCATTTCAGATGGCCCATTTTTGGATTGGGTCTTTAAATTTGGTAGATCCAATTTTTTAAAGTTCTTTATGTATTCTAGATAGTAGACCTTTGAGGAAGAGCTGGTGAAAAATTTTCCCCACATTGTGGGTTGTCTCTTCACACTATTGATTGTTTCTTGCTATCCATAAGTTTTTTTTTAATAAAAAGGATCCCACTTGTTGATTGTTTGTGCTAGTTCATGGGCAACTGAGGTTTTGGTCATAAAATCTTTTCCTACACCAATGGCTTCAAGAGTTCTACCTTGCCTCTCTTCCAGGTTTAGTGTTCCAGTTTTAATATTTAGATCTTTAGTCCATTTTGATTTTAATTTAGTGAATGGTGAGAGATATAGGTCTAGTTTTAATCTTTGGCAAATTGAAACCCAGTTTTTCTAGCACCATTTACTAAAGAGGCTATCTTCCCTCCAGTGTAGGTATTTGGTTCCTTTGTCAAAGATGAGGTGGCTGAGTGTGTCTCGAGTTGTTTCTGCATCTTCTAATCTGTTACACTGATCCTCAGGTTTGTTTCTTTGCCAGTACCATTCTGTTTTTTGTCATAGTAGCTTTGTAGTATAATTTCAAGTCAGGGATTGTGATACCCGCTACCTTGTCTTTATTGCCTAGAATTGCTTTTGCTATTGAACATTTTTTTCATGTGTTTATTTGCTGCTTTTATTTCTTTGTCTGAGAAATGTCTGTTCATTTCAGATACCCATTTTCAAATTGGGTATTTAAAGTTGGAGGTCTCATTTTTTAAAGTTCTTTAAATATTCTAGATAGTAATCCTTTGTGCGACAAACAGTTGGTAAATTTTTTTTCCCACACTCTAGGTTGTCTCTTAGCTCTATTGGTGGAACATTTATTGCTAAATGGATACACATTGAGGCCATACTCTTCAGTGAAATAAATAGGACAGTCATGTGTAAATAACAAATAGCTTCTCCAGTGTGAGAAACTGAAAGTGTAAAGAAGAATTGAAATGTATCATAGATAACATGGAATAAAGAGAAAAGATCTAAAGGGGAAGGGGAACTGGGAAGGTAGGGAAAAGGATAAAAGGGAAAGGGAAAAATATGAGAAAAGGAAAGAATGGAAATGAAGTCTTTGTAAATAGGGAGGGTTGGAGGGGTTGAAGGGTGGGCAGGGGAATGGGAAAAAATAAGAACCAAGATATATCATGTAAAAGTAGAAATTCCCAATGATGAATGTCATTATGTTGTCTACCTAAAATGTACCAATAAAGGTAAAGAATGAAAAAAAAAGGTCTCTATGCTCATCCTTACAAATAACGAAGATCCCTGGCTCTGACCTCAGTCCAGGGACACTGTGTCTGGAGATAGAGCTGTGGCATTTGAGGGTGTGCTCTGATAATCTGAAACAAGATGGGGTGAGTTTCAAGGCAAACCTTGATACAGGAAATAATATGTTCTTAAAGAATTATAAGAAATAGGAGGAAGAGAGGGTATTACATTTTACTACATTTATGGAAAGTGATGATGGAACATTTATTAACTTTATTTTTATCAAATTATATAGTGTAAATGCACTGGTATTCTCCAGAATATGTTAGCTAGCCTGGAGTGGGCACATCTGTAATTCCAGCACTCAGGAGGAAGAGGCAGGAGGATCGCTGAGAGTTTGAGGCTAGCCTGGGCTACATAGTGAGTTCAGGGATGGCCTGAAATACAAAGAGAGAACCTGTCTCAAAAAACCAAAATGAGAACCAAAAAAAAAAAAAATAGTTTACCTGTAACACAAAAGTGTAGAGACACCCTACTTTCCACAGTTTCTCAGTGAACGGGCTTTCTATCAGTAAGACATTATTCAAGATAGGATGAATGCAGGATATGGAAAAGAAAAACTCTATTGAGATCAGAATCTTTATCTGAAGATATGTGGTGATAGGTATCTTAGATTCCATAATACATTTATTCTACAGAAAGGAAGAATAGACGGAAATGGAAGGACAGACAAGGGCAAGGATTGTGAGGACTGCAAAGAAAAATAATCTTTGGATTTCACTGCAGATAATGTGGTGAGTTTGTAAATATCCAATTTTTTTGTTTTGCTTTATCCATTATAAGAGCAATTTCTATCATATCGGCTTATTGGCCTATAAAGTTTTTGGTTGTGAGATGGGTCCTTGAGCAAAATAGCGAGAGGGAATGGATAGTTTTCCTGACTCACTGTCTTAGAGGCTCGGGCTGCGGAGGAATGCCACAATGCAGCTTACTGATGTCATTGAAAGCTGCCTCTCACTGTTTCAATTTACCAGTTTCATTTCTTAGTTTTCTCTTACTTTTCTATTTTTTTTAAAGGAGATGGCCACTTCTCTAGATCTTTTAAATTAGTTAAGAGTAT